TCCTTAATTCATCATTGTTTATCAACCATTAATTAATTTTATCAACCTCTTTGTGTTTTCTAATTTATATTGCACTTGACAGGGTTGACACAGCATCTCTTGTTCAAGTAGAAATTTCTTGTTTCAATTTTTTTGCTGTGAGGGTACAGATCATGCTAAATATTATATGACTGTTATAGTTATATTTCGCATTATTAATTCATTGTTTTCACTTCTTCAGATTATTATTGCCTATGTTGGAAACTTTTCGGAAGTCGATAAATATGTTTTCCATATGATAAATGTTAGAAAATTCTGCACAAATATTAGCAAGAAAATTATAAAATATTTGCCTTGTCGTGCATTTAGAAAAGATATAAGTATCTTAAAAGATCTGGTTATGGGCATGAAATTTTTATAGTTAAAAATTAGGTAGTAGGCTTATTTGGAAATCGATCAAGATATTTTGGAAACACTTAGGTTAATTTATCTAATGGATTGTTATTATCCAACAGATACAAATCATTCATCACAAAGTATTTAAAAAGACTTTTAACCTCTGGTCTAAATCCAAATAATCAATGGAATGACCTCACTTCATTTCTGAATTGAGATCATTCCATTGATTATTTGTTATTTAATTTTTTTCTTAGCAAATCTACTGAGAATATGAAATTAAAGCCAATCAGCTCTTCGTAATCAGCTGATTTATTTAAATTTCATCAGATATTTTATTGAGTTTGTTTGATCTATTGCTTAAGGTAATTAGTTGGTATTAAAAAGATGACAAAGATGCAGAAAAAAGCGGAAAAAATGTATTTCATTCCATTGATTATATGAAATTTAAATTTTTGTAATGCAATACTTTCTAACTTATACATTCAAATCATTTCTACTCGTTTCATGGATGTATGAATATAATCCACATGTTATATAGTAATATTGATCGGATCATGATATCATACGGATCCATAGTTATTATATAAATTCAATGATTTGTATGATACCATGTGATTTTTTATTGATCGATCAAATATTTACAATGCTTTTTTCTAAAAATATCCCAACATTTAAGTATTTTATGAGTATCTATTACATTTCCATTACTGAAATTCATCGAATATCGATGAATTTTCGTTATAAACATTTTTAAAACTTTGCATCATTTAAAAAGAAAAAGAGGAAAAACAAAATTACTGCTAATATCCATTTAAGGTCCCCCATTTTCTTTTAGTATAGAAGATGAACTATATCGGGATTGAATGCATTCATGCAAACGTTAACCAACCAAACTGCATGTATTCGCAAATGCATGCATATGAACGTAGAGATTTAGATTTACACTAACATTATTCTGCTGATTGCAAATTACCATGCATATAATTGCAAATATAATTATCTATTATCGCGCTTGTATTGAAGCGGAAACAATTTTAATATATGAAAAGCAAATAAATGATGAATTCTTTTTTTTATGATAATCTTTACATTTATGGTATAACTAAAAATGAATCTAAGAATGAAAGTACCACATTTTATACTGTTTATTGCAAATTTTAAATATCATTTTTTTAAGAAGCCATTTTAAATAATTCTTTTAGAAAGCTCATTTGTTTTAAAAATGATTTGAAAATTTTCCTATACAAGAAAATAATATCTTACATATCATTTTAACAAACAATTAACATTACAATGATAAGTTTTGTGATATATTATTATTATCGATCATATATAACTTATACTACTAATTATTTCAAATTCATCAGTTCTTTGATTATATCAATTCTGAACATTCGCTTTTTTTCAGTGATAAAATTTATAATAGTATCTATCATTAAGAAAGATAACGAATCTTCGATCGATTCGTTTTATTGAAAATTGCTAGTTTTAGTTCACATTGAAGTTGTTAAGCAAGCACAAGCAAACGTTAAAAGCTGTCATCGATAATCAAATGAATGTTAATTATTATAACTGATAATGATAAATTATCAGATGTTTCCGTTTCCGGCACTAATGAATTTATTTTTCAAAATGTTAAAGAAAATGCGATTAATTTGATAATTCATTGTTCATGATAAATAATGCTATTTGTTCTAATAATTTCGTCCTGCTTCTTTTTTCCCATATCCCTGTATTATTTTCTATGATTAATAATCAATATATGATAATCAATACATGATATATTATTTTTTTTATGTTTAATAATCAATATATGATATACTACTTTCTATGATTAATAATCAATATCTGATAATCAATATATGATATATTCATATAGAAATTTAAATAGCAGAAAGGAATTTTTCATCAAAATTATAAACAATTTTGTTCACTCAAAAATTTGATTGATTTCTTTTTGTTTGCATCTAAAAAATTTTTGTGAAAATATTGGTTAATTCGTTAATTACATTAGTTCAAATAACGATAAAAATTCATTAAATTACATTTCTTTTGATATTTCACTAATTTATGTCATTTATGTATACCTCAAATTAAGTATTATAGAATATAAAATTTCAAACGACTTCAAACGATTAATAAACATGTGCTTTCTGATTTATTGTTTCAATTATTTATAGAGTGAATTGATACTTCACTAATTTGAAATAAAACAATTCGTTTTTTTTTTTTTTTTGATTCTTTTAACTTTAGAAAATGTTTCAGAATTTAAAATGTTAGATATTAATTTATCACGTATGAGAATGAGAATATGCTTTAATTTCAAGTAATTAACAATAATCATATCATTTTCAACATTTTTCGTAATCTCTCCGACTACTTTCTTGTATACTTCGTTAAAACAAACGTACCAACTTGAAATAGCCATTATGATACGAATGAATTTTATGATACGAATAGATGAAAATGAAAAAATCCTCCATCGTTTACTTTTACATATATCGGCCGTAGTGGCTGGCGGTTTATATCAAACAATTAATTACCTTTGTTAATTTAAACTACACGTGTATTAATTTCATCGTTGCTCCGTTTTAGAAATGCATATAATACTTTGGCATTAAATATAAGCGCGTTTAATGCATTCATAGTTTTTGATGTCATCCTTACAATTAAATAAAACACGACACAAGTAAATGATATTGGAATCCCCGGCATTTGAGCATTTGATGGAATTCACTGATAATTACGAACAGAGATGAAAAGAGAAGAAAATGTAGAGATGGAATATATTTGCAACCCATCAGCAATCAAAAACAAAAATAAAATGCCATGTAATCGTTTTACCACAATATATATATAATACATGATAGTTTTTGAAAAGAGAATAGGGAAACCACGGGTGAAGAGGTAAAGGAATAGGGAAAGTATAAAAAGCGGGGAGGAGGGATGGGAGGGGGGGGTAATGGTTTGGAATTTTTATGAAATTGAGTATTGATGCGTTACGGAAAGAAACCGGTAACGTTGAAGCACAAGGATGAGAAAATATTGAGGAAACCGTTTTTACATTAACGGTTCCCAAAATGAATACATATGAAAAAACAAATTGCGCTTGAAAATTATCATCGAGTGAGTATATGAATTAATTAAATTAGTAAAAAATTAATAAATAATTTTTAGTATAATTTTTTTTTTTTTATAATTAATTTCTTTTCTTGTTTAATTTTTAGCAACTTCTTTTTCTCGCCCTACCTATTTTCTTTAAATTTAAAAATTTAAATTTTCCTTAACTCAACTCGATGAGATATACATCAACTAACACATATCATAATTGTCACATTTGCTGGAAGAAAATCCAGGATGAAGTTGCAATTGACTAGGAGTTGATACAAAAGAATGAAGAACAAAATACTGTAATAGATTATTCACAATTTAAGCCATAATAAGGAGAATGTATAAAAAGAATCATTCATCCAATTTTACCATTTATAATTTTGCATAATTAATAAAATTTTGTTTTTTGTTTTTTTTTTTTTTGTTTTGTTTTGTTTTGTTTTAGATAAATTAAGGAAAAACAAAATTCAAATCAAATAGATCGATTAAAATTTGAGGGGAAAAAAAATATTAAAGAATAATAGTAATATTAATTATAATAATAATAATAGTAATAATAACATCAGTGATACAATTCGAGTAAATATAAGAAAATAATATGCGGTAATGCTATCACTCGTCTCCGAGAATTTGAGATCCTCGTGGGTAAAAAATTATTGAAATTATTGAATTTTTGCATCATTGAGGTGTAAAAATATACCAAGTACTTTCAAGTAACAATATACTTTTCAGTTAATAATCATTTACATTCTACTTATATCTCTCATTTAATTCCTTTATCAACGCAACTATCATTCTACTATTAAAATTCAATCAAAAAATTTTTTTTCACTTCCCTCAACTTACTTCCTTTCCCTATCCATTTTTTAAAATGCTGTCATCTTTCTGTTGATAATCATTGCATTCCTTAATTATCTAATTTTGTAACCCAAAAAATCCTGCTATAAGAAATTTTTAGTTTTACCAAGTATTAAAAAGATAATGAAAATTTAGATTTTTGATTTCTTCAATAAAAAAAAGAAACAAAAGAAATTTACTACTCCCCCGGTAAATTTAATTTTCAAATTTCAAAATCAAAAAATTCCCACTAATTTACCTTATGAAATTTACCCCATGAAGTTGTTTGCATAATTTAAATTGAAACGAAAAAAAAGAATACGAAAAAAATACCTCGGAAAAACCATTTTGCCTGCATATAAAAGAGAATTTCCATTAAAATTATGCCGAAACATTTAAAACAAAAGAAAAAAAAATCCTGATATAATGAGAGAAAACAGTAAGAAATTAAGCACTAGAAGTTACCTAATAAGCAGGTACAGTTGAAAGAAAAAACTTCCTGTAATCATCATCTATAGGTGTGCAAAAAAAAAAATGAGAGATTGAAATTCATGTTAAAATCACAAATGTTCCCTGTTCCGTTTTAAAATTTAGGTTGAAAAAAATCTAGCCCATAAAAAAATGCCTAGACCAAGAAAAAAGAAAAATTAATTAATGGCACTTCATCCCGATTTTTAGAAACGCGAATCATGAAACGATGCATCCGATGGCTCTGGTGTTGGTGCCATTTGTGTAATAACCTGTATCGCCGCACGTGGATTTTCGTAATCACCAATCTCATCCAATAAAATATTTTCGGCTCCTGCTCCATCAGATACTCCTCCCGTCATTGCTGCAGGCGCTCTATTACCTTGGGCAGATGCTCCTTCTACAGTCTCGTCTTCGTCCGGTGCAGCATTCTGGCGACAAATTGGGCATGTGCGATTACCTTTCAGCCATTTATCAATGCATTTTAGATGAAAATGATGTCCGCACGGTAGCATACGGACCAGATCGCGTTTTTCAAAATCGCACTGACAAATTACGCATACTTTTTCCATTAGGAGTGCCGGGTCAGTGATACGGAATGACTTTAGCTGGTCAATTTCATTTCTGAAAATGTGAATTATAATTCAGCCTATTGTAGCATTTACATCATTAACAGTTAATTATTACCAGAATTTTCAATACATTTTCAATCAAATTATGAAGTAAAATATGATTACATTTTTCCCAAATACCTTAGCTCATGCAAATAAAAGTTTACTTTGTCATCCCTTTAGGTGGCAGACGGGCAGGATTCATTTGAGGTGCCATACGATCAAAGATATGAAGGACTGCTGCTTCCCATGCACGGAATGGGATCTCACCACTTGCCAATCTTTCTAATTGCTGATGATAATTGGCTGCTGATACAGTTTCGATGGTAGTTTGAAGTGCCGCTTGCTGTGGCATCCATTCCGCAGCCATCGTTGGAACAGCAACGGGTCCCTCAACCTGAATTCAACATTCCGATATAAATGAATACCTAACTTGATTGATCGATTAGATGTTAACGATCTTATCCTTGCATGATTTAAGTCATGTTAATTACAAATAAACAAAGAAAAAATGAAACATAGAAAAACATACTAAAGGAATGGAATTTCGGGTGCTGTCTCCAAAATAATCGACTGCGATAGGATGACGAGCCCTATTAGCATTTGCCAGCATCTGTGTCGCAGTAGCCGGATCAACGCCAACCTGAGCAGCTGCTTGAGCAATTCGAACACGGGAAACTACTGAATCCATTTGTGTATTAATCGCTCTAGGGAGATACGAAAACCCGGGATAAAGGCGATAGTGTGCTGCACTGTGATCCCAACCACCGGCACCATTCACTGGAATTGCAGGTGTTGACCTGTAAAATGATCCATCTCACATACAATAATATGATGTGAATGTCTCGAAGTTTAGATTATCAGTAAAGCTACAAATAAGAAATTTTCCTTACAAATATAATTAGCTTAAATGAAAATCATTCTTCACTTACTCTTGACAGGAATAGCTAATGAACTTAACTATTACATTAATTCTCACAAAATCAGTGTAAAGAAAAATGGGAAAATTTTTTGCTTACACAGGGATAGGAATTTCATCCAGTGAACGTTGAAGACCAGAATATTCCTCCGGGATTTCATTTATGAGTGGTGGAAAAAAAGTATGCTCCGCAAATGGAATATCCGGCGACACATACTGCACTGGTGTTGTTGGCAGGCGTAAACTCATCAGTGGCTGTATGTATACGATATATATTTTTTTATATTTTGATTAAAATTTGACTAAAAAAACTTATTTGAATCTAATCAACAACTTTCTACTCATTGTGATCATAATACACAGGAATATATATATATATATATATATATATATTACTGTAATAAGTAAATCGATAATGTCTTCAATATATGTCTATATGTCTGCTCAGACCATAGCAACCCTTCAAATTTATCTTTACATACGAAAGAAGGAAAAAGAATACACTAACCGGATGTGGTAGAAAATATGCATAATTTGATGCAACTGATGGAGGCCCATGAAGGTGAAGAGAGATTGGAGTCTGCAAATGAGTTACTAAAAATTTGCATAATATGGTATAGAGTAGAAATCAATTGATTATCTCAAGTTATTGTCATTTCACAGTTAAGACATCATATCGAACGGTGTTGTCTTCCTCCTGAGATGAATAGTAAAAAAATATAATTTCAAGATGAAGAAGAAAAAGTAATTAACTAGAAAAGCAAACCAAATTATGTACAAGAGATGTGCTCGGCAGAGCAGTAAGCTGAGCGTGAATTTGAGGAGCGATAACCTGAGGTCCGTAAGTTGGCGTTATAGGTGGTTGTATAGCAGAAACGGCAGTTGGATCATAACCCGGAGATGAAGGTATGAGGCACGTTTGCTCAACAACACCTAAAATTTGAAAAAAAAAATAGCTAATTTTAAAATTTTAAAAACATTTTAAAAATTAATTTAAAAAAATAATTTCAAATGAAAGAATTTGCTTTTTTTCCCAGTAATATTTTCAACTATAACTATAAATTTTTGTTTATAATCTTCTTTTTAAAAATTATTTTTTTTTTTTAAAGCAATTTCAGTTTTCACAATCATATTTTTGAAGTTTAATTTTTTTCACTAATACTAAAATTAACTAATTAATTTTTTTAATTGAAATAAAATACTACTAAATGAACTAATTTTGTTCATTTTAACCTAATAACATTTAAGTGATTAATAGAATATCAAATTTAATTCATATCACAATTTTAACCACGTTAATAATTAATAAATTTTTCCAATATTTTAACATTTTTTATCAAGTTTTCAATCATGATAACATGAAATAAGAAAGAATTTAATCTCTTCTTACTAAAATAATGATTAACAATTAGGGTAGTGATAAATACTTACGAATGTTCTGAACCACTAAACCGCAATTAACGCAGATGTAATACATCCTACCGAACGATAAGACTACCTTGTGATAGAATGAAAGTGAACTGCATCCAACAACTTTAATTAAATATGCTTCACGTGATCACTTAAATTACGCTTCATTTGCGTGAATTATACTCGAAAAAAGTGGTGATGCTATTTGGACACGCGAAATTGTAGCCGTTTAGGAGTCAA